ACCTAAATATTTAACTTAAATATTTAGCTAGCCACCTAAATATTTAACTTAAATATTTAGCTAGCCACCCAAATATTTAGGTAGCTAGCTAAATATTTAACTTGCTAGCTAAATATCGATCTCAAAACTAAATATTTAATTTGTAAGTTAAATATTTAGTTTATAAACTATGACATTTTATAAATGTATGAATCATATTGTGAAAAACTGACTTAGAAAAATAAATCTGTTCTTGTTTTTCTTATATAAGGCTAAATAAAACAAAATATTGGTGGTGATTTTTGACTGTGTAACTTTACAAACGGCACACCATATTTCAATCTTTTTTTAAGGGACTTCTTGCGGCTGCCTGTTAGCATGTTTGTTATCGTGTGCAATGCTGCCCCTCTGGGTACTGGCTGGGCTGTAACTACCCATCGTTATGAACAGAGCCACTTTTTATGCCTTTGATTAATGCACACACAAAGTTACATTAGTTACAAACTTGGTTTGTCTTTTTATTTCCACAAACTTCCCTTCAAATCCACTCTATTCTCTCTTTCCAGCCAAGCGAGCGAAGTCCTCCACCAGTCTGATGAACATTCAGGACAAACAGAGCTGAAGAGGAGAGGAGTATTTTTTTATGTCATCTGGACACCGGAGAGCTTTAACGTAAAGGACTCAGCAGCAGTCTATCTCCATCTTTCTCTGCAAGGATCAAAATTATTTCAAACCGTTTGATAACGGAGGTATAGCCATTTCCTCTATTTTTTAATGCATGTATTCAAACTCATAAAAATGCTTCAATCATTGGGAAACATTTCTGTTTATAAATAAGAAATTCAAAAACAATGATAATATTTATGCATCAGGATATATTATGGAGAATTATGCAAATGTTCCTATTTAATTCTCTGACACATCAGAAAACAAACTGACGTTCCCTTCGATTTTTCCTGACGCTCTTACCTTTTTGATAAGTTAAGCGGTTAATTTGTGGAAGCAGGTTTTGTGTTGGAATCACTGTCTGTAACTTCACAAATTACTAATCAGGTGGTTAATACTTCTGCGCGGTGTCTCGTTTTAACTTGCTAACAATCTTCAGGTTGTTAAGAGCATCCTGCTGTCACTGTAGAGCCACTGGTTTGTTTGTGTGTGTGTGTGTGTGTGTGTGTGTGTGTGTGTGTGTGTGTGTGTGTNTGTGTGTGTGTGTGTGTGTGTGTGTGTGTGTGTGTCTGTGTGTGTGTGTGCTCTATTTATGGATGGAGAAATGGGTTTTCTGTCTCTAATGTATGTCCAGAAGAGAGCTGCAAAAAGGAAGCACTTGATGTCCATTAGTGGTGACATGTAACTGCTGGAAGAAGGAGGGGTGAGGTGTGGGGATGCACGCTGCTATGGTGGGGAGGGAGGAAATAAAGACATTACACACAATGTAAGAGCACTCCAAAGTACCACACTGTGATGTTACCTGTTTTTTAGTCGGTGTGTTTTGTTTTTGTCTGGTCGCGTAAAGCTTTTAATGTGTTTTGCAGTCATGTTCCACTGATATTTAACTTAATTTGTTAAGTGTTTTGTGTTAAAATCTTTAGGAGCGAGCTGATGAATGTGCGCTGGAGTCAGGTATACCTTTTATTTTGAATGCAAATAAATCATTTTGTATTATAAGCATGGTGTTATTGCTGCTTTATGTAAGTGCAAACACTGTTTTGAGCTATAATGAGTTGAATTTCACATAAGTAATAAATAGCAATTAAAAATTAACCGGTGTGTTCTGAATGTATGTTATATGTGACCCATCATATCGAAATGAGGATTAAGTCAAATTTGGTCAAAATGACCTAATTACATTTTCAGATTCTTGGCTTTAAAAGCTACATTTTGATACCTGGGTCATTCTGATCCATATATATGACTTAATTTGTCTTGTTGGTTACAATAATACATAAATATTTGGTCTGAATCCTAATTTTATGTCCTTTTAACGAGGAATTTTTGATGTCCTTATAAAGAGGAAACCTCAAATCATATTTGAATATTGAGATGTCCAAGCTAAAAAGAAACAAAACTTTGCTAGCTCACAGGGAAAATCTTAAAATTTTAAGGTGTTTTTCCTCAAAATCAGTTTTTTTGTTGCTACTGCTCAAAAAAGTGCTTCAAAATTTTGTTTTATGATTATATTTCAGACAGTTCATTCAAATGATACAGGCTTGATAAGGCTTTTATTCATTGTATTTGGACAAAATGCAATTTTTGTTAACATTTTAGTCAAAACACTATTTGCCTATTTCTCCATGTACAACTTTTGGACTTAATCCTTGTTTTGATATGATGAGTCACATATTTATTATGAAGTATCACTGCTCTTACTTGAGTAAAATTTCTGAATACTCCAACCAAATTTGAGTAACTTCACTGGATGAAGAACAAACTTGCTTTAAACTGAAATGCATCAGAAAAACATGTTGAAGTGAGACCTCTTCTTTTTTTTTTTTTTGCACAAGCTTTGTTTTAATGCTTTCAGACATTTTCAGAAACGTGAGGATCGCTGCTTTCCAGTTCATGCAGGGGCACCATGAAAGAGGTGGGCCGGGGGGCAATAGCCATTCTCTAAAACCTTCTGCCTCCCCATTGGTCAGGCAGTTTTATCCTCATGAATCCTGAGCGTTTTGGTATTGATTTCTTATTTTACTTAGCTTTTGAGGATTAATAGAACTTCAGAAACATTAAAACATTGTTTTTGAACAGTTAAAAGAAAATGTTGCTTTTTAAAAATGTTTAGATGATAAAAATTTAAAAGCTAGTCCTGAAGTTCATACCCTACAATTTATATTAACTTCTACTTATTTACTCTGCAGACCTTTATGTTTTATTAGACTTGGAGCTTTCTTCTCACAGGAATAGTCCTTGTTAGGTGGCTTTGAGTTTCTTGTAACTAGGCATTTTTTTTACTCCCCTTCATTAACTGCTAATCCAAATGTGGGATAAAGATATTTGGCCGAATAATCGTAGCAACACATCCGTTAAACTCCTTTGGCTTTTTGGTCTTATGGAGCGCAGCCACGGCCGATCATTATAGGAGTATTACCGGAGTCGTGTGATCCCGCTGCAGCCAACAGAGCTGCTGAAAACACGGGCCTCTGCAGTGCTGGGTAGAAGTGTGCGGAGCTGCTTGTGTGCACTCAAGAATGACAGCCTTGATTCCCGATAAGCCTCGCTGCTTCTCGGAGGCACACCGGCTCTGTGAGCGGGGCCGAAAGTCAAGCAGCGGAGGCTGACGTGACGGAGAGGGGCTGATGGGGACTTCTGGTGGACTCAAAGGAGAACAAGTTGGGAATGGAAGAAATGTTTAGAACAGTGTCAGAAGAAGGTTGCTGGTTTGCCTCCTTGCCACAGTCTTATGTGTTTTTGCATGTTTTTTACTGTGTATAGGGGTGTCATGAGCTTTGATGTGGCCCTCAAAGGGCCATTTGTAATTAAGTTTGACTAAACAGGAAAAGTCAAGTTCCTCGTCTCGTTGCTGCAGCTGAGCAGCTAACAAAACTAAGCTCTACCTGGTGTTTCCTGCATAGAAACAGCGTTTTAACACGTCTTCTTATAAACACTGAAAAGTACTACGTGTACGACTGACTAAATGTGAAATAGATAATACAGAAGTACTATTAAAAGTAAAAGTAAGAGAGTTTTACTCACTGCTGATTTGGGGTATATGTCCACCATCCTACACAGCAAAAACAGGAGTGTTAAAATGTCAGTGTTAAACTTTTGGGCGTCGATTTAACACCTCCTAGTGTTATTTTAACACTTTCTGAGTAAACTGACACTCAGTGTTGGTATTAATTCACAGTGTTGATTTCCTCAGTGTTGTCTCAGCAATGGACAGTATTAAATAAGCTCCGTCCACAGTTAAGTCTTACATAACACTTAACAGTGTTGTTATATGACACCATACAGTGTTGAAAGCAGTTTTCTGAAAAGCCCCGCCCTCTTCCACCTCATGTCAGGCAGACCAGCATTTACCCAGCATTCCTTGCTGAGAAATCTTGCCGAAATGATGTTTTTTGCATGTTTATGACTATTAAAGAAGTTCATGAGAGTAAAAATTAGTTGTTCTGGTTTGTTTTCTTGTTCAGTTTCATCAAGTTGTTCAACTTTAAGTTTGTGTTATTGGCCAAAAATCGACACCATGAGTGAGAGGTATTTCTTGTTGTGTGAAGAGTGACTCCATTTTGCTTTTCTACTTACTACAGAGTACAAAAAGCCTGATATTATTTGTGAGTGTTAAATTTACACTCTCAAATTGATGGTATATATTCCATATCCTGACAGAGAATTCCCATGAGGAAAAATCTCAGTTTAGCTGCATTTTTACAGGCTATATCTGCTTTTGAACTCTGCTCTCCTCCACCTAGTGGTGGTAAAATAATCAACATGCATTATGGGAGATGTAGTTTATGGTCAATGGCTTTAAAGCAGCATAATTTAAGACATGAACACATCTTTGGAGCTCTTGTGGGACACATTTGGTCCACGGGCCATGTATTTGACACACGGGCTGCTGTGGCTGAGTGGATAGGGGAGTCGTCCTGTAACTGGTGGGTCGCCGGTTTGATCTCTGTTGTTGTGCACTTCAYCTTACTTGCTTGGTGGTGGTCGGAGGGTCCGATGTTCTCCAGTTTACTCCCACAGACCACTGATTTGTAACTTGAAGTTGTCCCTAGGTGAGAGTGTGGATTTGCCRCCTGTCCAGGCTGAACCTCGCCTCTCGCACAGAAAAAGGAAGCAAAAGGATGAATGGGTTACTAATAAATGAGCACAGAGTTTAATCTGTGAAGTTCTTTGTTTTGTATCTGGTGCCAGATGTTTGGAATGTGTCTGTTTTCAAAGACGGACATCTTTAACTTGGTTCATTTTTCACATTGTTGACTGGAAACAAGATATCTGCACTGGTGGCAATGGAGAAAGTTTACCTGCTAAACTAACTCCAACACAAGAAAAAGAAAGAAAACAACAACAATCCAACACTAATTATAGTCTAACGCCATGCAAATTATTATACAACTAATCCACTTACAAAGAGCTCTGCTTTGCAAAGACTCAGCACAAGAATAACTCCTCTGTAAGTGTGGCGATTGTTGCCAAAGAACTTAATATGATTTGGAAAAATGACTCATATCCTGATTTTGACTTTCCCTGCTTTTAGATGGATTACACTGTAAGACAAAAAAGTGCTCAGGTGTAATGCATTTTTTTGGAGTATTTTAATCTCTGCAACTCACGAAACAAACAAGAACAAATAATTGAACAAATGTGCAAAAACTCATTTACAAATCTTGACTTGTTGAGATTGCAACACAGCAGTGAATTTCACCTGAATGACATTTGTTCTGAAAGCCCTGCATTGAATTTTGCTCCAAATTCCAACTGTTTTAATGGTTCATTTAGGTGATTATTAATGACCTTTTTGAACTAGAGTTGCTTATTAAAAATCAATTAATGTTGTGCATACATCTTGAACACACACTTATGGATGTTAAAATGCCTGTTTTGATTAAACCWTTCACGTTTGTTTTTACCCTAGAAGTCATGTTAACAAGGAGGAAACTGACGGCTCCAGCTGAGCCGAGGATTATTGATGCGTACATGTAAATTCCTGAAAAAGATGACTTGTGCTGTAGCTTGTTTGTATTTTTGCATGATTGCATTTGCTTTTTTTGGTTCCTAATATTTATTTATAATAATCAAGATTCAAGGACATCAGTTATCTTATGCTCTTGTTTTCAGAGGACAAGCAAAGGAAGAGAAAACCAGTTTTGCACAAGCAACCTTGAGACAAGGTCATGATTAAAGCAGAGGGATGCTTGTTGGGCTATTGTACCAAACTTTCTGTTTTCATTTAATAAATCTCATTTATTAAAGCCCATACTTTGCTGTTATTATTATTTTTTGGCAAGGTCATTACCTCCTTTATACTAAATGTCTCTGTATTTTCAGCTGTCCTCTGTATTCACCCTCCACTCTTTCCACAACCCCTAGGCCAAGGACCGGTACCTGTTCATTGATCATTTGTTCCCGGGCCACAAAGGCTATTTAAAAATAATTATAAACATTTGTATGCAGAGCATTTTATSTAGAAAATGACTACTTTAGTTTGGGCTTCTGACAGACGTATTTGTGTAAATGCTGAGTTTAGCKTTCCCACATTCTTTATGTTGAACATTACATTTTCTGAACATCTGCTTCAACCGGTTACATGCAAAATATTCAGCTTATTCAGGACMTTAACTGTGATTTTCTGTTACGCTGCGGGAATTTTTAAACTGTATTTAATAGGTTTTTGTCTGTGGCAATGCGTTCAGATCTTTTCAAATTCTTGAAAAACTTGGTTCTACTTTAAAATCTAGTTTATGACGTTTGATTCATTTTTAGCTTTCAGAGACTGTTTTGCTCATTTTGGCTTCGACACTTTTACTGTTAGCCACTATTCTGCTAGCTTTTAGCTTTATTTTGGCTAACTTTATCTTTTAGCTACTGTTTTGCTGGTTTTAACCAAAAATCTTCCAATTTGACTTTTCAGCAACAGTTTAGCTAATTTTGGCTTCTAGCTACCATTTTGCTGAACTCAGTTTTTAGCCACTCTTCTGCTGGTGTTATTTTTTAGCTTTGGTTTTTCTAACTTTATATTTAAGCTGCTGTTTTGTTGGTTTTAGTCTTCAAATTTTTACTTTCTAACAGCACTTTAGCTAATTTTAGGTAATAAATGATAAATAGTCTGAACTAGCATAGAGCACTTTATCAATCTCTTTACACATTCACCCATTCACACTCTGATGGTGGTTAGCTACGTTGTAGCCACTGCTGCAGTTTTTGTTTTTGTAATTTTAATATTTAATCTGATCATTTTAACTTTAAATGCTCAGCATGCAAACAGTATTTTTGAATTTGGTAATACTTTATAATAACTACACCTTATTTAGCCTTAATTAATCATTAATAAAGGGTTACAATAGGGTTATAATATGAATGTTTACATGAACATTTGCATTTCAGTATATACAGTATATAGAATAGTTAACTCACGAGTTATTAAGCATGAGTAAACAATAAGTATGTTGTTTTTAGAAGTAATTATCCTTAAAACATTAATAAATGTGTTAATTCATAGCTTACTAAGTCTGAATCATCCTTAATTAAGGATGTTTTCAAGGTTAAGTAACCCTTTATTAATGATTAATTAAGGCTAAATAAGGTGTAGTTATTAAAAAGTGTTACTGAAATTTTGAACAAGTGAAAAACACAATTTTTTTTTGGAGAACTTTTGTTTCTCCTCATTTGTGGGTAAATGRTTTTATACAAAACAGGTTTGTGATGCAAATAAGAAGTTGGGTTCGGCCTTTTTAACGTACATCCAGTGTTCTTAATGCAACAAACTGTCCAATTTTTCAGGGCAATATTAAGAAACTGTTAGCACTTCCAGTGTTATGCAACGCCCACCAACAGCACTAAGCTGTCAGTTAACTGGCTAAAGGTCAGGCTTAGATTATCCACCTCTCACCCCCCAAAGTGATGAATATGATGCTTTGTTGAAGGTATAAACATGTTGGCTCAGAGCTGGAATCACACACACTCTTACAGAGCAGGTTCAGGGTGAACAAGACTTATTTTACACCTGTGAGCAGGGGTCAAAGTCTGTTAAACCCTGGCTTATGGTATTAGATAGATTATGGAATCACTCTCTAACAGCAGTCATTCAGTTTGTAATCTCCGCTGCTCGATGCAAAAAAAGCACTCGGCGTTCTAATGACAATGCCCCCACCCCTCCCATCCCACTCACTCGTGTTCTCAAAGGTCTTATGACGAGTCAGCTGTTGGTGACATCACAGATGCTGGATCATATGTCAGAAACCTTTGCCGGCTGACCTGCATCCCTTGTGGCTCAGCAGCAGCCAAGTCCACTTGAGAATAAAAGGGCTGTGAGATTCCCCACCCCGGGAGGTTAGGATGAATAAAGGTGGGGGGCAGCTCTTCAGGGCAGAAACATCTGACCCATGTGGGTGTTTGTTTGTGTGCCCCCCATCTTGCTATCAGCTTGGGGAGACGTTTATCATTCTCATGGGGGTGTGCTTGTTTCTTAAGTGGTTCGGATTGTGTGCACGGGGGTCTTTGTGCATCGCTGTGCTTTTGCTGAAGCAACATCGTTTTATTAGTTTTGATCGCAAGAGTTGCACTGCCATCTCAAGTCAGCTTTCAAAGAAGGGAGAGTTCAGGGGCAGGTCATTGTGTCATTAAATAATGATGTATAAACTATTTAAAGACATTTGTTGCTTTTATTTGAGACTTAGCTCTGTGGTTGTAATTCTGAGGCTGCAAGTTCAAGGCTTGATGGCCCAAAAAGAAAATCTGACATAAAATATCTGCTTGTTATGGTCACCCCTGCAGAAAAAAGCAACCACATGTTGTTTATATCAATTGCTTTGAAATGTACCATCGATGCTGTCAAGTAAAGTACTTATCCAAGTTAAAAATATATATATATATTTCTTTTTGTTTGACATTTTAAGGCAAATCATCACACTGAACTAGTTTCTGATTGGAGTATTGTGTCTGTACATTTGGAAACACAACATGGCCACTAGATGGCAGCAACGAGCCATGTGTTGTGGGCTACAACACTTCTTGTCTCACTCTTGTTCATCCTAATCATATTGGTGTAAATAAACAAAACAAAAATAAAAAAGGTTTGTGGCAAAAGTGATACAATAGGGAAGTTAGTGGGTGTGGAGAGATTATCTTACCCCATCAGATCCACTCCTGTGATTGTTTTTGTGGCACATGGTAAATGTGTGCTTTAATAAATGTTTTTTTATGGCTTCACCCAAACATCATCAATGCATCATATTAAAAAAGCAGCATTAGAGTTATCTACACAAACCTTACTATGAACAGGAAACCTTTAAAGCAACAACAGCATGGATTGCATCCAAACAACTACGATAAAGTTTTAAGTTTTTCCAAAAATGTTGACCTTCATAATACTTAATACGTAATACTACGATCTTGTTCATGCGAGGACATTACAATCTTGAACTGCAGTTGACATTAAAAGCAAGCAAGAAAAAATAATTTAAAAAAACTTTAATTTTGCTACCTTTAACCTCGGATTTTCCCGTTTACGAGGGTACTTGAAGGCACCACTCGATGAGTTCTGGTTGCCGTGTCGCCATAGTAACGAGTCCCAAAACAGACGACGCTCATTGAGGTCAAAGAAGAACCTGTGACGGAACCAGAACCTCGTGCGATGTCGGACAATGAAAACACAAGCAGGTAAAATTGTTGGTTAACTTTCTTTAACTTAGCATCAACAATGAATTTGGAATAATTTGAAAATGCTGAAATATAAGAAGAGAGGCTATTTAAATGTATTATTATTATTATTATTATTATTAT